CAGTACCATACTGTTTTGATTACTGTAGCCTTGTAGTATGATTTGATGTCGGGTAGCGTGATATCTCCCACTTTGTTCTTATTTCTCAAGATTGCTGTGGCTATTCGGGGTCTAAGGTCGCCTCTTGATGCAAGATGGCTGCCAGAACTTCAGCCCTTTTATGTTTGCGGGCTGGATGGCAAAGAAGGGCAGAAATAGGAAAGGGGGCTCCAGGCTTAACTGCCACCCTTTAAGCTGCCCTCCTGGGAACCTCACCAACAAGGCTCCTTCCATCTCACTGGCAGACATTGTCACACGGCTGCACAGAACTGATCCTGGGGGTGGGGGTGGGGGGCAGCTGTCATCTTTTGTTTCATGAGGCACTGTGCCTGGTCAAAAGTGATGGTCTGATTCGAATGAGGATGGAGAGTGCAGATGTGGAGTCAACAGCGGTCTCTGCCTCATTTCCCCCCTGTCCCTCACAGGGAAGGAAAGGCTATTTCCTCAGATTGCACCCTGACATCCTGCTCTGCTTCCTCCCAGGGCTCCTGCCCAGACCCTCCATCAGAGCCGAGCCAGGCCCTGTGGTCGCCCGGGGGCGGCCTGTGACCATCCTGTGCCGGGGCCCTGCTGGGGCTCACACATTCCGCCTGGAGTCGAAGAAGAATACATCTGCATTCATGGATCAGAAAAATATACCTCAACGTGGTTCACTGGAGACGGAGGCCAGATTCCTCATCCCCGCAGTGAGTGAAGTCACTGCTGGGCCTTATCGCTGTGCCTACATAAAACGGTTCAGCTGGTCTGAGCGCAGTGAAGTCCTGGAACTGAAGCTGACAGATGAGGATGTCCCCGTTCTGCCCTCAGGTTTGTCCCAGGTCCCTGGACCCTGTCCCCAGCTGCATTCTCTATCCTCAGGCTCCCTGCCCTCCTGTGGACCCCCAGCCCTCTGGCTCCCCTGCCCGTCTGCACACATGTCCCTCAGCCTTCACACCCGGCTCAGGGCACTGGAGCCCTGGCCCCATCTGGACACCATGATGGCCTGGACACTCAGCCCAGCATTGGGGTGGGCAGGGAGCCGGCCCTGCTGGGCTGGGTGGGGAGTGAGCTTCCAGAGATCAGGTGGGGACAGATCCCCTTCAAGGGAACATGTATCCTTTTGCTCAGGATGGTGTTAAACCTTCATTTCCACTGAGCCCCAGGCCATATATATATTCCCTGTGGTGTGGCCCACCCTTCATTGGGCAAGTCACATGGTCCAGGGGGGTCCTGACCAGAGCAGGACGGTGCTTTCAGGCACCTTTGGGCTGAGGCTGTCCTTCCCCTGTGGGCAGTCAGCCCCTGAAGTGTGTCCTGGAGTCAGGGTTCAGTGAGGAGGGTGACGCCCCTCACGGAGGGATGGCAGAGGGGGAGTTCTTCCCCTCACACTGAGCACTTTGTCTCCCTTTTGTATTTATCCTGCTATGACTCGGACATCCCATGAGTCAGTGCACATCGTCCAGGGGTGGCCCTCACTGTCCAGGCCTGGGGGTATCTGCCTAATTTATCCTGACCTTGTGACTGACTTTGGGGACTGTGGGTGGCACAGTTGTCCTGTTAGGTGGGATCAGCCTCCGGGACCCTCTGACCCTGTGGCCAGGAGAGGTGTCTCCTGCCTGCCCTGTTTGTCCATGGACCAGGGATCAGCTGCTTTGTGCTCATGTAGAAGGGAGCGTGGGGTGTTCTGAGGGGTGTCCAGCACCTCAGCCAAGTGAAAGCAGAGAGAATACCATCACTGTGCCCCCACATCTCTCTGTCACCTTTTCCTGGGAGTCCAGATGGTGTCATGTATACTGAGAGGTGGAGAGAAAGAGGCCAGGTGTGGACGCTGCAGGCGGCGAGGGGCCTGGAATTGTGGAACTGACCAGGGAGCTCAGGTTCAGCCCTTCTCCTGCCCCCTTCACAGGACCCCTCAGCTCCCCACACTGAGCCCCCTCCTGGGCTGGGGAGTAGAGACCTCTCAGTCTGGGCGTCCTCACCTAGGGGCTCAGCTGTGGAGTGGGCAGTGTGGTGGCAGTGGGGCAGGGGCCCTTTTTCTCTCAGTGGTCAAGTGGACACTCAGCACCCTCCTACAGCAGGAAGCCTGTTCACTCCTGGGGGGTTTCAGAGCCAGGAATGGGGAATCGCCCTAGATCCCTGAGCAAGTTTGACCAAAGGCAGGTCTAAATGTTCCACCTGTGTGCTGCCCTGGAGCCCTCTAGTTGACTGGTTGTGGGACCTGGGGTTGTGGACTCAGGGGTCTCGGGGGTCTCTGGTTGGGGAAGGAGTGGAGGGATTCAGGGGAGGCAGGGGCCTGGTTAGGGCTCAGGAGGCAGGTCAGTCTGAGAAAGGGAGGAAGGCGAGGCTTCTTGAGACATCTACCTACCCATTCTGACTTCTAGGAGCCCCCCGTGAAGTCAGCCCCCTATCCACAGAAGCAGGATCCCAGACAGGTAGGTCACCTGGGAATGTGTCCGAGGGGAGTGCTGGGCAGGACAGGTTCTGTGCCCAAAGGAGTAGGAGCTCCTGTCTCATAGGTCCAGGGCTGGGCTGGGTCCTGTCCACCTGTTAGTGACTCCTGTTCTCTGCTTCCAGCCCCTGCCTCCCGGAATTACACGGTGGAGAACTGTATTCGCATCAGCCTGGCCGTTGTGGTCTTGCTGATCCTGGTGGCGATTCTGGCAGAAGCTGGGCACAGCCAGTGCAGGTCCCCACACGGAACTCAGGAGGGCGCCCACCAGAAAGATTAGGCCCCAGTGTCCCAGGAGTTACCTCCCCAGGGTCCAAGACTCACATCTGTCACCCGCCTTACCCAGGGGCTCAAACTGCACCTGCCCTGGGTATCCCTGTACCCCACTTCTTCTCTTCCTAGAATGGTCTCTGCCTTCCTTGATCTGTGGTCTCCTTGGGTTCTCAGTGTCTTGGATGAAAAGTGCAGGGAAGGAAATACAAATAGAAGCTGCACTGAGATATCACCTGACACTCATCAGGATAAATATGATTTTAAAAAATAATAATTTAATGGGTAACAAGGGCTTTGCCAGAAAAAAAATAATAATTTAAAGGGGAAGGAGCAGGTGTGTCAAGGCAGTGGAGGGAACTGGAACCTGTGTGCACTGCTGGTGGGACTGCACGACGGTGCAGCCACTGGAAGGTGATGTGACAGTTCCTGAAAACCTGAGCCCAGGATCACCTCATGACCCAGCAACCCCACTTCAGTCCACGCTCAAAGAAATGACCAACGGACCTTAGATGTCTGTGATTTCACACTCGTAATAGTCAATATTCACAATAGCCAGTGTCATCACCAGGCTCCTCAAAGGTGGGGACGGAAGCAGATGATCGGCTTGAGTGAAGGACTCACCAGCAGGGGTGGCTTTGAGGACAGAGGAAGGGGTCATGTGTCATGGAGTGTGGGGCCTCTAGACGCTGGAAAGACAAGGAATGGACTCTCCCCTGGTGTCCCCAGGAAGGAACCCAGCCCTTCAGACACCTGGATTTCAGCCCAATGAGGTCTGGTTCAGACTCTGACCCCCAGAACCATAAGATAATAAAGCGTGTTGTTGTGAGCCACTATGCTTGTGTTAATTTGTCACAGCAGAGCAAGGAGCCTCATACCCCTGGCATCTGACACTGGTTTCAAGAGGCCCCTAAGCTTCTGGAACCTAGTTTGTGGGCAGACCCTGACTCCACCCCCCAGACATCTTATCAAACCTCTGACCACCAGAGTTGGAAGCCCAGCCAGGTACACAGTGGGCTACCGGGTCTGGGGGCTGTGGCTTCACTCTGAGGCACTGCCGTGGGTGGGCTTTACCAGCGCTGGGCCTCCGTGTGGCCAGGAGGCAGAACCAAGGACGAGGCCCCAGTCATCCACATCCTGCAGAGCAGGGCTGAGCAGGGTGACTGCCCCGCCCCCTCCCTGTCCCCAGTACAGACAGGAGACTGTGAGGGGAAGGCTCACTCTGTGCTCACTCAGGATTCTCCTGGTCAAGAACTGCGTGCAGAACTCTCTGCTCCCGACTGTGCGTCAGTCTCAAGGAGGAGCGCCGGGGCCTCTTCCCACATGGGGGCGCTTGCAGAGCCCTGCGTCCTGCTCAGAGCAGGGCACGTCCTCACTGTAAGTTTTGGTGCTCAGCTCCCAAACTTGGCCAAGGAGGGTCCTTTCGCGTTCTGCTGTGCTTTCTGAGAGGACCCACTCCTTTGTCCCCTGTCCTGCTTTCTGGAGTAAATGCAGCCCAGGCCTATGCATCTCCCTTCTGCCCTGGGCCAAGGCAACCTTTCCTCCGAGTCCTTGGGTTCCTTCTGGTGGGAACAATACTTAGAACACACAGGGCCTGGGGTTATGTGAGCTCAAGGCTGCTGGGGGTTTGTTCTTTGTGAACCACCGAGTGTCAGGGAGGATGCCCAGTGTCAATTCACACAGCTGTTCCCACCCCCAGTGCAGCACTGCAGGGTTCACTGCCTTTTATGTTGTCCTCATAGCCTTATATGGAACCCCAACTCCTAACAGATTCATATACAGAGGGTGCCAAACAATGTCTACACATTTTAGGAAAGGAAAAAACTGTATTAAAATTGGTCAAACGTGACCTACATATGGTCACGTTTGACTTCTGCAATTACAAGAGGTGCTCACAGTGGTTACCATCAGTGTTCAGACACTTCTGATTACTGCGAACTACTGCTACACAGATAACATCTCTTAAAATGTGTACACATTTTTTTGGCACCCCCGGTAGTTACTTTTTCTGGTTTTACCCTGTGGCTGTGGTTATTGGATATAAATTTATCTTTTCTTTTTAAAAAAATTTTTTTTTGTAGAGGGCAGTGTCACTGGCCCTCATATGTGGGATCCGAACCGGGGCCCTCTGGCGTCCCAAGCCAGTTCTTAGCCATCGCGCCACTCGGCCAGCCCTAAATTTATCTTTATTTTTATTTTTTTATATTCATGTCATGTGCATTTCCCATTTTTTGTAACTCAATCGTGTTTTGGAATGCATAGAATATTTATAAGTTTCAAAAGTTAAAACTATATAAAATGGTGCATTCAGAGAGATCACTTCATCCTAGCCCCATTCCTTTACACCCCACATATTGGAGGTAAATATTTTTTGTTAATTCTGGTTTTCAGAATGAAAACATATGTGTAAAAATAAGTAAACATACACACGAGCTTATTCCACCTACTTTCTTAAAAACAATGAGCACATTCCATATTGTCCTGCATCTTTCCATTTTTCTCATTTCCCAGTGCTCCTGTAACACATTCCCACAACCTTTATGATCAGAACAGCACACATTTATGAATCCACAGGTGTATATCTTGGAAGCGTGACACAGGTCCCCTGGGCTAAAGTGCCGGTGTCTGCAGGGCTGCATCTCCGGAGGTTCCAGGATGCATCCATTTCCTCACCTCTTCCAGTGTCTACAGGTCATCCACATCCCTCAGCTCAGGGTCCTTCCTCCATCTCCAAGCCAGCAATGGCGGGGCAAGTCCTTCTCCTGCTACCTGTCGCCCACCTGTTCCCATCATCACATCTCTTCCTCTGACCCTCCCCGCTGCCTCCCTCGTCCACTTTTAAGGACCCTGTGATCACATTAGGGCTCCCTGGAGAATCCAAGGTAATCTCTGCACCTCAATGTCCTTATTTCATCACATCTGCCAAGTCTCCTTTGCCAGGTAAATAACTTATTCCCGGGCTCTGCAGATTAGGACGTGGGGCCATCATTCAGTTCTCCACATTCTATGTTCTGGAAGTCATGGCACAGCAGTTCAGTTAAATTCGTTTTATTATGTGTATGGCTGCTTTGTCCCCCAGATGCCCTTAAATAGTTTCTTTTCTTTGGTTTTTAAAAATAGAGCTTTGGTTGCAAACACTGCACAGGTGTTCCTCCGTCTTTGTCGTCATGTCTTCAAGATAGATTCCTAAGAGAAAGTTTGCTGTTTACATAATTTAGTGGATTTTACAAAATAGGTGTCCTTTCATTTTTCCAGTCCTGCCAGCCTCGTGTGAGATGAATGACTGTTTTCCACATTCTTCCTGGTAATATTTGTGGTCAAATTTCAGAGATGCTCAAATGTGATAGATTAATCAACAATTTCTCAGTGCAGCTTTCACTTGAATTTGTCTTATTATGAATGTATTGAGCATCTGTTTACATGATTAAACATCCTCTGCATATACTTGATATGAACTTGCAGTTAATGTGTTTTAATTTGCTTCAGATTTTGTCCCTGGTTGTCACGTCCAGCGTGGCAAGGGCAAATGGGTCTCGAGAGGAGCGACGCAGATTGAATAAGAAAAAAAGACAAAAGTAAGATAAGAGCGAGACCAAGGGACTCAGCCAGAGAAGACTGAGCCCCGAATCGGGTCAGCGCATGGCTTTTATTGAGAATGTTCAAAGAAGTAAAACTGCAGTCAATCAATTAGCAACCGTGTGTGATTCGTGTGCTTTAAGGCCTCTTTCCATTAACATATCCCATTGTGTTCCAGCAAATCCTATGCCTTCACACATCTGCCACATAACCCCAGAACACTTGTTACTGTGTCCTCCCAGGGGAGATAACTATTATCATTCCAATAGGTCCCAGTCATACCTGAGACACTCCCCAAAGAGAGAGCTTTACCGGCCTCAGGTCATACCGAGACACTCCCTCAGAGAGATTACGTGCCTCAAGTCATACCGAGGCACTCCCTCCTAACTAAATAGGGTTAGAGGCTAATGCAGGGGTGATGGTATTGGAATCGGCTATAATGCAACACCTGGTAATTGAGGAATAATTCATATACCATACAAATCACCCATTTCAAGGTGTACAATTTACTTTTTAAAAACTATATTCACAGAATTGTACAGCTATCACCACAATCAAGTTTAGAATGTTTTTATTACCCCAAAAGGAAACCCTATATCCATTAGCAGTCAATCCTATCCCCCTTTTTCCCCAGCCTTAGGCAACCACTAACCTTTCTATCTCTATAGATTTGCCTATTCTTGACATTTCACGTAAATTGAATCATACAATATATGGTTTTATTACTGGCTTCTATCATGTAGAATAATGTTTTCAATTTCATCTGTGTTGTAACCTGTGTCAGTACTTCATTTCTTTTTATTGTTGAATAGTATTCCATGGCATGGATATATTATGTTGTTTTTTACCCATTCATGTCTTTTGTCCATTCTTTTAAGAAATAAGAGGTTTTGCAAATGTTCTCTTCTAACTTACTATATTTGGGAAGTTAAGCCTTTTATGTAATATATGTATGTAGTCACATAAATGTATACATATTCTATGACTTATGTTGTATTATTATTTTTTTTAAGATTTTTTTATTGGGGAATTGGGGGGATGGGAACAGTGCTGGGGAATTGGGGAAGGGGGAACAGACAAGTTGCTGTCGTTTTGTTCTTCAGTATAGTTGTGGAGGACGTTGCTTTACTGGCCCAAGTTGGCACTATCATTGCACTCCTCCCGGGCAAGGCAGATCAGTCGCCGGCTTCTGGATGGCTGCTCACTGCGGCTGCTGGCCACTCACGCTGGCTGCTGGCTACATACGGTAGCCCATGGCAACCCACTGCCACAGGGGCTGCAGCCTACGCCGTCGCCAGCGACTCACGGCAGCCCAGCTCCAGGTCGAGCTGTTGTTCAGCATCTTAGCTGTGGAGGGCAGTGTCACTGGCCTTCATATGTGGGGTCCGAACCGGGGCCCTCTGGCGTCCCAAGCCAGTTCTTAACCATCGCGCCACTCGACCAGCCCCTATGTTGTATTATTATATGTAACATGTATATTCTGTCTTTGTTTTCCAAAATGGCTTATAGGCTAATTTTTTCTTGCAAAGGTTTTTCTTTTCAAAAGAGAAACTCAACGGCTGGCCGAATGGCTCAGTTGGTTAAGAGTGTGAGCTCTGAGCAACAGGGTTGCTGGTTTGATTCCCACATAGGCCAGTGGGCTGCACCTAAGCTAAGCTGCCAACAGGTGGCAGGATGGCTCAGCTGGTGAGAGCACATGCTCCTAACAACAAGGTTACCAGTTCGACTCCCGCATGGGATGGTGGGCTACACTCACCTGCAACTGAAATTGAACATGGCACTTTGAGCTGAGCTGCCCTGACATGCCGTTGGGTGCCTGGATGGCTCAGTGGTTAGAGCGTGCACTCTTAGCAACAAGGTTTCTGGTTTGACTCCCACATGGGATCGTGGGCTACGCCCACCCGCAACTAAGATTGAACACGACACCTTGAGCTGAGTGGCCGTAAGCTGCCCATGGGCGGCCGGATGGCGACTGGACTTGGAGCTGAGCTAGCTGTGCCTGCCACAACTAAGACTGAAGGACAACAACTTGGCTGCTCTCCTTCCCCAATTCCCCAATAAAACCTTTAAAAACAAAAAAAGAAATTCAAATTGATTCAGAATTTTGTATCGTGGTTTAGAAAGTTCTTCACTCTCAAGCTATAAAGAATTTCTCCAATTTGCACTTTCTAATTTCTTCACCTTCTCCTCCATCCCCTCCCCCTCCCATCTAGCAACCAACAGGTTTTTTTTCTATAT